GCCGCTGCCCAGGGAGGCGCGCAGAGGCGCCGAGAGCGCTCCCCGGCGGGTCCCCCGCGCACTCGCCGCGCCCGGGCAGCGGCCCGACCGGGCGAGCATGGGCGGCGCGGAGTGACGCCGCCGTGCCCGCTTGGCATCAAGGACATTCAGCCCGCGGGGGTGGGGACGAAGGGGGGCAGCCCCGCGTCGCCACCGCAGCCCCAGAGAGCCGCCGCCGCAGCCGCCGCCGCCGCTGCTCCGGCTCCGGGCTAGGTGGAGGAAAGGGGTGCTTGGATCCGATCCACATTCTCCGACCTTTTTATTGGACATTCCGCCCACCTCGGACGCCGCCGGAGGAGCTGTCAAGCCCCGCAGGCTGTGATTTCGCCCTCCGTTTCCCTTGCCTCCTCCTGGGTTCCCGGTGCCTCGGCGGAGTATTTGCGTTCGGGGCTGGGGCTGGAGGAGGCAGCCACACGCGCGCACACGCACACGTTCAGAGGAGGACGAGAGGCAGCGGCACAGGCACCATCTGCAGTGTCAATGCGGCGCTTCCGCTGAAGGAGGCAAGAGCCGCGCTCCCAGGTAAGGAGCCGGCGGGAGGGCGAGGGCAGCGCGGGCGGAGGTACCCGGCTCGGTCCGGGAGTCCTCGGCTGCCCTGGAGCCAGCCCGCTGCACGCACGCACACACACACACACACACACTCGCGCGCGCGCGCATACACACACACACACACACACACACACACACACACACACACTGGCACACGCCGCGCACACGCACCTGCCCACGTCCCACCTGGACACCCGCGTAGGTGCGGCGCGGCCAGAGCAGGTATTTCCCCCAGTTCTTTCTCCTCTGACGATCCGGACTCACACTTCTCTTACCTAGGACTTTCAGGGTGGGATTCTGCGTATGCCTGCCTCTCCCTCCCACCGGGGTAGGCTGAGGGAGCGATTTTTCAGTTCCCGGCCCCTGGTTATTTCTAGCTGGTTTTCGAAACGAGAGAAGTAATGGGAGGTTTGGGGAGACCCGCCCAGCGTCATCTCCGCTCCGTGGCCTTTGGACACCCTGGGATTTTGAAGGGAGACAGACCGACAGATAGATATTCTGACAGATATTTGGAGAGCGTGGTGGCCCAGCGTGCAGGGAGGAGGCCACATAGGCAGATGGGGCTGCAGTTCTGTAGGGCGGTGCATATGGAACAGGCACTGCGTTTCCCCAGTAAGAGGCAGCACAAACGCCTTTCTGAAGCATTGCACTGCTTCCCCGGGAATGCGCCGGGATTCCATGCAGGAAGGGGCTTCCGCATGGCATTGGGTGTGTGGCTGGTCTAGGGAGAGCATATGGGGGTCAGATCCTCCATAAGAGGTACCACCTATTCACATCTCCAATCTCTCGGCAACAGCAAGCCGCCAGGGCTTAGGGACACAGGTCTTGGGTATCCCTTTCACCTCTCTACTCTTCCCTCTACGCTGTGTGGGAAAGCATGGGGCTGTTTTGCTGTGCCTCTGGCTGTCACCTGTCACATGCCTTTGGAGGTGTGTGTCTGAGAAATAGAACTGAAAGGGGGCGGAGGAGGGTGTTGTAGGGAAGGGAGGAAGGTCCCCTCTCTCACGACCACCTCAGCAGTGCCCCCCTGTAAGGAGGCCAGGCATTCTTGGGTTTGCCAGTGTTCCCCAAAGCCAGGTTGCTTTTGACTGTGCAGAACGACTCTCCAGAAGCCTGTGGTTCAAGGTTCTATTTCCCTAAAGCCTTTCCTTTCCTTTTCTGCCCAGCTGGAGTTTCACAGGCTGCTCATTTTCAAACTTTTTCTGGAGGAGGTAGGAGGTGGTTGGGGCTCCAAAAGGGCTTTTTTGCAGTTTCCATCGGGGGTCAAAGAGCAATTCATTCGGGCTCGGTTGTTGTAGGGAGAAGAATGTGAGGTCCAAGTAAAACATGATTTTGGAGTTGCACGTAAATATAGCAGAGCCCCGAGTTTCTCTAGCTGTCCCTTTTGGGGTAGCTTGTGGGGCAGCCTGGCAAGAAATGGGGTGAACTTGTACCCTTTATATAAGGTCATGTGTTCAGAGTGTCCTACAAACTCACCAGTGGGAAAAATATGTTGGGAGTGTTCCAGAGTGCTAGGGGAAAGGAGTCAACATTCTTTGGAACAAGGGGCCTCAGTGTTGGGCACAGGATTCGGTTGATTCTGTAAATCCTGAAGATGGGTGCTGAAATAAAGGGCCCTCTGCGCACCCCCATCTCTGCTATGTTCAAACTTTTTTCAGCTCCTGCAAAGGTCTCTCAGCTAGGCTGGGGAGGAGAGGAGCAGATGCCCCTGGGGGGGGGGGGAGATTGTATTCCTGCCGTGTGCTGTGTGTAACCGCCCTTTGACTGATTGGAAAGGGTAGATGGACTAAAGCAAAGCTCTCACAATGGGGAGAACCCAGTAGGGGGAAGAAACATTATTTTCTTTTTGAGTGCACACCCAGATACATGTGTGCTTTCTCAAAGGGTCAGTTCAACGCGATCCGCTCGTCCAGAGTGTGATGGCGGGACCCACCTCTGTCCTCCAGGCTGTGGAAGAACTGGAACGTTTCCACACGCGTACCCTATGAGTGCGTGGACAGGGAGGTCCCACGTATGCGTAGAGGAACACATGGTTTTCAGAAGAAATAGCCCCAGCAACAGTGGATGGCTCCCGGATAAACATTCTCTCACTGGACCCTGATGGGGCTGAAGCATGGTGTACCGAGCTTCCGGAAATGTCTGTGTGTCTTCCACACAGACTTCTGCTCCCTTCCCCGCTTCCCTCTCTATCTTTCCTTCCTCCTGTATTTGCAGCCTTAGGATCCGTCACGTTCATGCAAGCCAGCAGTCATGCTAGTTATAAGCTAAACATTTTTAAACATGGGTTCAAAAAATCCCCACACTTTTTGCACTTAGAATTAGGTACTGATTTGGTTTCTAGGGCAAAGCAGGCATTAATTAACATCTGTGTAAAGCTGAGTGTACATCATCTAATTTTTTCCTGGCTCTCTCGCTGAGCCCTGGAGCATGGCACGTTGCCTCTCTCAATCTCTCTCTCTCTCTCTCTCTCTCTCTCTCTCTCTCTCTCTCCCACCCCTCTGTGGACTTCCTTCTAAGTTCTCTAGGGTCTTTGCACTCGCAAGGGAGTCATACTAGAAAAACCCCAATCACGAGTGCTTCTTTTCAGTGGACCCTGGCTGCTGCTAGGCTGTGCCCTAGGGGCTCCTCCGTGAGCGTGGGTTGCCCGCGAGTGCTGTTCCTTCTTGCCCAATCTGGGACTCCCTTGTGGGCTTGCCTCTGTCCTCCCAAGACTTCATCCTGGATGCCCACTGATGCCTGCAAACATTTCCAGAGGCATCTGAGGCCACCAACTTGTTTCCTTTCTCCTCTGCTCCTCTCCATGGCTTCTGCTGCTGCTGTGCCCTGCAGACAGGGAGATCTACATGGCACAGTCTGCCTGCACGGCACAGTCTGCCTGCACTTGGCCTCCGCATCCTTTTAATCACAATGAGGGCTGCTGGGAATTGAGGGGGGGTGCCTTCTAGGGAGGCAGTGGTCCTGAGGTGGGGAGAGAGCTGAGGGGGCGGGGAGATTAACCGCTCTTAGCTCCTAGTTATCACTAGGCTTTGATGCAAAGAAACTGCAGCCAATCTCTCTCCTCCTAGCCAGCTAGGGGGCATTTCTTAGCCGCTTCTCCCCATCCTCACTAGGAGAAGGCACTACACAGACAATGCCACCTCAGAGACCTGTTGGAGTGGCTCCGTGATGGGCGGGGATGGGCGGCAGCCCTACGGAAAACCGGCTCGAGATCCACGCTGGGATTAGTCTGTGTGACAGATGTACCATTCTTTTTTAGGCTCTCCCCTCCTCTTCTCATTTGTGTCGATGTGAAGCTCGGTGGACCCTGGGGTAGTAGAACAGCGCTCATTTCTTCCTTCCCCTGACACCCGTTCCTCCTTCTGCATCACTCCCTTCCCCGCCCCCCCCCCAACTTGCTAATTCACCTCTTAGCTTTGTGCGCACATCCGACAGCCCATTCGCCCTCAAATTTGTGGCACTCCAAGAAATCAATATGACATGAATTTAACGACAGCTGGATGATTAAGTGTTATTTATATTTAAGAGCGGCATTTTAAAAAGACGTCGCGCTAATAAATCAAACGGCTGTTTGGGAGATGCACATGATTAGGGTAATTGCCCTACAGGCCCCATTGTGCAATGCCTGGCCCGTGCAGAGCCCTGCGGACAGTATCTCTTTGGAAGCTACCGGCCCTGCTGCTGCCTACCCTGACCTCCCACATGATCCCCTCCATCCAGACTTATTCTCTCTCGTGCCTCTCTCCTCACTGCGGGCCAGCAGCCTTCCTTGGCAGGAAGGTGGAGTCAGTGGGAACACCGAAGGGGGCTCTGCTTCTAAGTGGTAGGAGATGGGTCTTAAAAGCGAAGGCAGGCAGGAGGTCCTCATTGGCAGAGCAGAGGCCTTGTTCCGCAAGGAGGAGGCTGCTTCTCTGCCTCCTATGAAGCAGCTTGGGAGAAAGGCTGCCTGAGTCCCTGCGAGAGTCTGGGCCGGCTCCCAGACCCTTGTCCTGACCATCACGTGGCATCAGCCTCCCCAGGGAAGAGGCTGTGTGGACATGAGTATTTGCCCTTGTGAAAGCTAGCAGAATGGAAAGGAATAATAATCAATGGTGATGGTGGTGGCTAATATCTATTCAGTGCGGACTTGGATGGGGCATCGTTTTAGTGGTTTACACAGGTTGGCCCTTATCCTCAATGTAACTACCCAGAGAGCCAGTTACTGTTATTATTCCCATTTCCTGCACGAGGAAGTTGAAAGGCCTGAGGCCAAAGACTTTGTCCAGGATCATACAGTTGGTGGGTGGTGGGGCCATATCTCAAGCCTGAGCAAACTGACCTCCTTCCTTATCACTGCGCTGTCTGCCTCCTTAGGTCTGTAAGGAGCATGTTGTCACCTGGGGAGGTTTGTGGGAGAGTGTGCAGAGGGAGCAGAGGGCATGTAGCTCCTCCCTCGGACATGTCTGTGACCCCAGGTGAATCTGTTTGTTCTTGGAGGCTCGAGTTCCCCATGCATCAGGTGGGGCTGCTTTGTCCTTGACTGTTAGTGGGCTGTGAAATTGCATGGGTCGTTGTAACAGATTTCTCAGTTCCTGAGGGTGACTCTTGCCTCTTTTGGTAGCTCCCATCTCTCCCTGGGAGAAAGTAAGGAGGAGTGAATGAGTGCAGATCTCATCTCTTCTTTTGATTCTGTGAGGCCCTGAGTCTTGTGCTGGTCGGAATCTAGCTCTCTCCAGCAACGGCTTCAAATTTGCCGGCATTGTGGAAATACCACTCTCCATTTAACCCTTCAAACCATCCAGCAAGGGAGAGGGGCACTGTTTATTCCCATCTTGATGCTGTAGGGACTGAGGCCCAATGCCCAAGGCTCTAGGACACTACATAGCGGATGGTCTTTTCACTCTTGGGGAAGGATGCTTACAATAGGGACTTGTTGGTTCATTCATTCATTAGCCCTCGGGTTCATTAGCCCCAAAGATTCCCCAGGGAATCTTTGA